CTCCCTCTCCCACTCCCCCTGCTGTGTTCCCTCTCTCGCTGTGCCTCTCTCTGTCAAATAAATAAATAAAATCTTTAAAAAAAATAAAAATAAAAAAAAATAAAAATTCCTATTCTCAAGAAAGCTCATTAATGTACAAATAAATTAGTACTTCAAAAGTGTTGTAGCTCTTGATCACTTTAAAAAACAAAAACAGAGATCTGAACTTGCAAACAATAGGTCAATGGAAAATGATTCTTTTATAAAAAGCACACATTACTGGGGCGCCCGGGTGCCTCAGTCAGCTGAGCGTCCGACTCTTGGTTTCGACTCAGGTCATGATCTCACGGTTGTGAGATCAAGCCTCCTGTGGGGCTACGCATTCAGTGAGGAGTCTGCTTGAGATTATCTCTCCCTCTGCCACTCCCCCTGCTCATGCTCTCGTGCTCTCTCTAAAATAAATAAATCTTAAAAAAAAAAACAAAAAAAACATGTGCATTGCTTTTTATCTAAACAGAATTTTCATGATCCCTAGGCTGGCAAGAAAGAAAAAAGTTAAAGTGGAAGTAACTTTGGCTTTCATTCCCTTATTCATCTTTAAATTTAGTTTAAACTCTGTTACCTAAACAGATACTCATTAATTTCTTATAATCTTTAAGAAATCAGCTTATAAAGTAAGCAAATTAATTCAAACAAAATGTACATTCAAACTTATAAACCAGTCAGGTACCAACTCTGGATATAAACTATAAATAAGAGTAACAGAGGAGGGGTGCCTGGGTGGCTCAGTCGGTTAAGCACCTGACTCTTGGTTTCAGCTCAGGTTGTGATCTCAGGGTTGTGAGATCGAGACCTGCACTGGGCTCCATGCTCAGCAGGGAGTCAGCTTGGTATTCTCTTTCCCTTTCCGTCTGCCACTCCCACTCATTCTCTCTCTCTCTCTCTCTCAAAATAAATAAATATTTTAAAAAAAAGAGTTACAGAGGAATAGTACTGACATCTTAAACTTTTTAACATTCTCAGTATACTTTAGCTTAAAATTGTTATAAATTATTACTCTATAGTATAAAATAGATCATCAATTTTATGTTGAAGTTGGAAGCTAGATTAAGATAAGTACAGAATTAAAAAAAATTAAAAAAAATAAAAACAAAAAAGATAAGTACAGAATTATAAACTTTTAAGCAGAATTAGGAAAGAATGCATACACTTGCAAGGTCAAAGGATTCGAAGAGAGAAATAGTTACTGGTCATTATGAAAGGCCATATATTACAGGTGGGAAAGCAGTAATTGTGGCACATTAGCTCAATTTCTCTTTTCAACATTAGGATTCTCTGCATTTGCATCTTATTTTCTTAGGTCTTTGTGCAAAAAAACTTTTTTGGTATAAACACGATCAAAGCTGTTAACTTATAGTAATTTTGAAATACACATTTCAAAACAACACGGTGCAGCAAGCAGTCTGCTTTGTTATTGCCTGTTTAGTGCCAGGATGGGGCCAGATTTAATTTCTGCTACTGCATACTATTTTAAATGTATCTGTCAGGTGTCTATACATCTGGTTAAATCCTAACCAAGCTTTTAGAATCAGTGTCAGAAAAAATAAAAAGAAGAAATGCTACCACAGTTAGAATGTTCTATGTACATTTATATACACACAGTCACAACAGAAAAAATCGTTTAATGTTTTCACATTTTTATCTTCAACAGTTAGTATCACTTTGACAGTCAGTTACAATTTCACTAAGAGGTTATTTACTCAGGAGTTAATAACCAAACTACTTTTAAAAATCTGCTGTCTCAACTTAAAGGTTTTTAGCAAAAGAATCTTGCAGAGGAATACCTTTTGCAGTACAAGTTTCATTAGGAGGCATTGCTAGTAGTCGGTCACCGGTCTGGATATAACCAGCTTCAATTTTACCAGTTACACAAAATCCAGATCCTTGATCTGCAAAACATGCCCAAATCTTACAATTCATATAGCAATGTTATCTGAGGATCGCTGCTGTCAGCTACAGTTAGTTCCCTAGGAGTTACATAAAACTGGTAGTGCAAAGCACATTAAGCAGTGATCATTTCATAATTTTTAACACACCTACTAAATATAGCGTACCACATTCCACTCTAGACTTTCTTATAAATAAAAATATTCATGTTATAAAAAGTGAAATTCATTCCTTTTTCAAATATTTACTGAGTGCTTACTAAGTACCAAGTCATGTGCTAACCTCTAGGGATAAAAAGATGAAATATAAGCCCCTACCCGTAAAGGGGTTTACCCCAGTGAAGAGAGAGACAAAAACAATTATACTGTCCAGAGACAAATATTATTTAGAGTGTACAATGAAAATAGAAAAAGGTACACCAAAGAATCCATGATGAGGGGGAATGACTACACTTTAGCTGGGCACTCAGAAGGAGAAAGAACAGGGGTTTACCAGGTACTTGTGTATATGGGTAGTGGGAAGAAGGAAAACACTGCTGACCCAGGATACTGTTTGTGCAAAGGCACAGAGTCGTAACTGCATGTGAGATGTGCTAAGACCAATGTGTCATTTATATGACATGTTTATGGGACCACATGGAGTAAGGAGGAAAAGGCAAGACATGAGGCAACAGGGACAGGAAGGGACAAATGATAAAGGGGCCTCATAAATCATGGTCAGAGCTGGAATTTCATCCTCAGTTAAAGAAAAGGAAGCCAGTAAAGAATAGTGAACAGAGAAGTGACATGATGGTATCTCTGTGTCAGAGAGGAGGGGAGGTGGACTGAAATGCACACACTGCAGACAGGAAGTAAACTCAAGAATTTGGGAATAAAGTAGATATTTGGGTGATAAGGCAGATGACAGATAACGGCAAAAAGGGAGATGGCAAAAAGGGAGAAGTCTAAGATGATGGTGCATTAAATGTGAGACAGGAAATTAAGGAACAAGAGCCGTGTAGGCTTGGTGAATGTGAAGTGTCTACAAGACATACAGGTGGGAGAAGATGCATCCCAGGGGACACCAATCACATCAAATTCCATGAGAATGGGACCCCGGGAGCACACTCCCTGTGGAGATGTCCAGCAGTAGTTAGCACGTGTATCCAGAGAGTGAGAACAGGCCTGAGCTGGAGATACAGATTTGGGAAGCATCAGGACGCAGGAGGTAGATGAGCCATGGATGTCTGTCTGAAAACAGCATGTAGATTGAGAAAAAGACTGAAGCAACAGAACACCAGTTAGGAGACAGAAAAAGAGGAGCCCACAAAGAAGACACAGAGAAGTCAGAGAAATAGGATAGCAGGAGATGGTGGGTCACAGAAACCAAGGGAGAAAAGTTTCAAGGTGGATATGGCTATCAGTCTCAGAAGCAATGCCAAATTCAAGTAAGGTGCAAGTAAGACAGAACTGAAAAATGTGTATTGACTTTGGCAACCAAAGGGTCATTTGGTAACCTGAGTTACCAACTTTGGTAGCCAAAGTCAATGCTGACAGGGAGGAGTGTAAGCAGAAGCCAGGAAGCAGCCAACGAGAGAGAGAACAGAAGGTGAAAAAGCAGAGTCAGCAAATATTGTTAATCAAAGCATTATTTTTGTATTTTGTATTTTAAATAGGTAACAGGCATTTTAAAAAGCATTACCATATTTCTTCTACTACTAGAATTGGGAAGCTAATAATAGTGATGATTCATTTCAATTTCATTGAATGATTTTTTGGGAAGCATCTTCATTCATCCATTTATTAAACATTTATTAAGCATGTACTACGTGCCAGGCACTGAGCTAGGTCCCGCAGATAAAGACAGAAGAGACAGTACTCGCTCTTAAGGACTTCACAATCTAAGTTAAATAAAAGGTACAGAAACAATTATAATGCCACACAAACAATGCAATGACAGAGGATACAGAGAACACAGCGGGGCACCATAGGGTACGTGCATGGGTGAGCCCATCAGGTACCAATTTATTGCTGCTCCGTTCTGAACCCACTCTGCACTGATTGCTCAGTGATAATGGAGATTTGGGAGACCACAGACATCTATACTGTACTGATTATTCCAACATATATGCTATACCCTTTTATTTATTAAGATCTTTATTCCATTTCTATTTTATAGTTTTCTAAAGAGGGTCCTGTACACATTAAATTGGATGTACCCTTAGGGATTTAATACAACACCTTCTCCAGCACGGCCTCCTAAGTTTTTCTTTCTTTGCATACAGTTTGCCCTCCGGTACCAGACAGAGTTTCCTTTCATCTTACAGTCACTCTTTTATCATATTCATATTTCTTTATATTAAACTTCTCTTTTTACCAATGTATGGTATCTACCTCTTAACTGGACCCAGACCACTACAGATGGGTAGGAGATGGACAAGTGAAGAAAAAGAAGAGCAGAATACTGGGTAGCCAGAGTGGCAACAAAGACTCCATGTGGTTAAGAAATAGTTAACAATCCAGTTTGGCTGAAGGATACAGAAACTAAAGAGATCCGATGAGAGGAAAAACACAGGAGGCTAGGAAGAGAAAGGATAAGGGGCTCCACACCTGGAGGAGGAGCATGAGCTGGGGAAATGACATAAACTGAAGCAAACTGAAGAGTTTCCTGGGCAGGGGAGCTAAAGAACTAGAACTATGCACTTCAAGATTAATTTGGCAACGATCCTTACACTGGCACATGAAGACAGTGTAATAATTTCGTCTAAGGAGAAAATGAAAAACCAGGGCCAGAATGAACAGCACCGTAGAAGGAGGACTTACCTTTGAAAACATCAGCCACACATAATCTAAAAGGTTTATCAATAGATCTCTGAGGAGGCTTGAAGGAATCTGGAAAAAATGGCAAAAAAAAAAAAAACAAGGTTTAATTTAAAAGTAATTTTTGACTCAGGTCCAATCGGCCCATTATAGTCCCAACTCTCCTAGAAAATAATTTTCTTTTATAATTACTAATAGCAAATTGACTCTCATTCATATAACACTTGGTAGTTTATAAAATGTTTTCATACATGTTATCTCATTTAAGATCAACAACAGTCTGTGGATTAGGTAGGATAGGCACAAGCCTCATTAATTAAATAAAGAAAATTGAGTATTATTTTAAATACTGTAGGTGATTTCAAAACTACTACACTACCTCTTCTGATTATAAATCCTATGCTTTTTCACACACATCACTGTCTCCCATCAAGAACTCTAAATAAGGGGGCGCCTGGGTGGCTCAGTCGTTAAGCGTCTGCCTTCGGCTCAGGTCATGATCCCTGGGTCCTGGGATCGAGCCCCGCATCGGGCTCCCTGCT